ACGTTGTGTGTGACACCGCTACGTACGCAAATCTTAAACTCTCTATTATCTCGTCCTCAATGCTATTCATATTCACACAGACGCGTATATAAATAACTTACGCTAGAATTCATATTAACAGGGATGAATTGCAATATAGCGAATGTTCAAGGACAATCAAAATATACATGTGAGTTTTGATTTGATTTGATACTGTTGATGGAGCAAGTTATTGCAATCAGCAAGACTGCCGGACATTCACGGATACGTCTTGTTGTGCCATTTTCATTTGTGGTCGGGTAAGCGTGACATTTATCTCAAGAATACGTTCGTCGTCACGTGATGTGCAAGACAGTGCTTAGTGTATTTATGCAAATTTGCCGCAGGTCGAGTGACGTCGATAGCAAGACCATGAGTGTAACTGTTGACACTTGAAACAAAACTCACGCGATTAAATATACTAAAACACTGACATTACTATTTGTTCTATTATACCAAAAAACAACAATAGTAATAACTAATATTACACGAGTAGTTTTACGCGGGAGACAGTGTGACGGAAGTATCCTCGCCTTGACGAAATTAAAAATATTTCCGAGTTTCTTTCGCGTAATGTAGGGCAGCTGTTTTTTATGGGCCTTACCTTTTGACTGACTTTCCCAACATCAATATTTGAATCAACCGGTCTCCTCTATGCAAACAGCCCGTTTGCGCATTTGAAACACGCAGCTGATTTGGTTGTCAATCATCACCGCTCTATTACAACATCTAAATTCTGTTGTTGTTTTACACTATATTTCTCGATTGTTCCAGTAATTCGAATATTTGTGCTAATAATTAATATCATAAAATGTGTTTGTGATGTAAACCCAACACTATTACTTATGTTACCAATAGTTTCCGTTAATGTATTGATGCCCGCAGAAACAAGCATGCGTGAATTAACTATATGTACGTAGCAGTACACTGATCACGTATGCAAATGAGATAAAACACTCTGTGTAGTAATATGCTGCAAAATAAAGTTGCAAAACGGCTACATATAGGATAAAACCTCGTCAAAACCTCGGAACAAATAAATATGTTTATACTCACTTTAGAGCGTCGTGTCGTGATCGATATGGGTCCCATGCGACGTGTACAACGCACGTAAAATTAGCGTGACAATTTCGGCAACCACCATGAAGCAAGGGATAACAATGCTGAATTGAAGGGCGGGCGAACATTTTAGAAAACAGGTTTTTAAAATATGTTGTCTGTGTTGTAATATAACAATGCTAGATATAGTCAAAGGGTGGCAGTCGTGCGTCGTGTCGCGTCCTGTTTGATGTGGGACTCATAGCGACGTATACAACGCGTGTAAAATACAGTGTTTATTTACATAAAATTCGAACACGCGCTGCGCGACGACCACCGCGCTTTAATCACTTTTTTTCAGTATAACATGTTTTTAAAACACTAACTATTTTATTTTAATGCGACGTTTAATATCGGCGTCAGCCACTTTTAAATAACATGATGGATAATAGTATTTATCGTAACTGTGTATAACAGGCTGGTATAACAAATACATAGCAAATATTTTCTTCCTTTCTTTTAAAAATCAACAAAGCGGTGTTAATGAGATGAAAACAAACCACAGATATTTAATACAATATGATATGTGTATTTGATATATTAAAACAACGATTAGTTAATTTTACTATAATATTTATTGACGTAAGAGATAATAAATGGTTTGACCCTGCCACAGCATGCGGTGTCTCGGAATATAGCACGTCTATAAATAGTCGAACCAAACCAGCTCGATATCGCTATCTAAGAGACGGTTCGTCTGGAGCTCTGACTACCTCCGTCATAAATTCGGCAAAGAGATGGGTAGTCTCACTATGGATGTCAGTGCACTGGTCATTTTGTTCGTGGCGTTGTTCGCTCTCGGTAAGTTGATTTCTAAACAGTCATAAATACGATTCATTTTACAACAACACATGTAGTTTATTTATAGCTTCATAGATACATGTACATGTACTGCATTGTGTTCAGACGCAGACACACATATGCTTCCATTTCTCAGACGCAGACTGCAATATACATGGGACAATTGTTTGTCCGCTTAATAGTACATAGGAACGCATACTCTACAAATATCCAACATTATGGAGAAATAATAGTTTTTATAGGCCGTCGTACTTGTTTACGTTTCGCACGCGTGCGCATTTAATGTTTGACAGGAACCAGCCATTCGTCGAAGACAAAATAATGGCGTTCTTCGTTGCTGTTGTATTTAAAAGGCGGTGGTCGTCGCGCATTTTCATGCGTTGTGCGTTCCTATTAGTCTCATATTGAACAGGACGCAGCGTGACAACCACTAACCTTTAAATATACAAGTATCCATTACTTTCAATAAAACAGGTTGAGGAAAACGTTGTCATAACAGCTCATGAACTAGCGCTGATCTCTGAGCGACATTTCGTGTTAGACAGTCGCATGCTGATGGACATAAATTTAACATATGACGTCTAAGTGTCCATCCTTCGACGGACGTGTTTTACTTGTCCCCATTCAAATGTGTTCTAATTAGTTAAATATAAGTCCCACCACCACTGCTATACGACCTGAACAATGAACTCGAATTCTGTAAATAGTAGTACCCTATGACGACACTGGCGTAACGCGCCCTCAATCGGCTTGAGTAAAACAATGATGACATCGTATAATTTGGCCAGGAGACGTGCAAAATATCGAGCGTGTGTCGAGAACCACCTTCGAGTCAAATGTAGCGAAGGTATTAATTGTTTAGTGTTATTACATTCAATATGTTGCATTATTTGTTTCTACACACTGAACACAACTAAATTATATTATTTGTGATTGTGATCCGAATGAATATTATATTTTATTTTCGTCATACTTTTATTACTATTTATTATACCACCAAAATACAAAAAATGGAAAAACATGTTACAAGAAAATGTTTCGGAAAACAAAGAGTTCTAATTTGCAGAAAATGGTCGAAATTTGCATTTTTGCACTGGTTCATATGTCGGCATTTTAACATTTTTAGGCAGAGGTTCGTTTCGGGGGTCTAGTAGTAAACGGAAACTCACCTATTGCTATATTTAATGAAATTATTATATTTTTTACTCCCGTGTGCGAAGGGAGTCTTTGCAGTTAGTGTGTATGTGTGTGTGTCTGTGTCTGTTCCACTGATATCTCAAGAACCATACATTGATTTTTGATGAAACTTGGTGCATAGATGTTCTGGGCCAATGCCATGATTTGCATGATAATTAGCTGATTTTTAGCTGTTCCATAACTGTTCCACTGATATCTAAAGAATCACTCATTGGATTTTGATGAAACTTGGCACATAGATGCTCCAAACTAATGCGCAGATTTGATTAATTTTGGGTAAAAATCTGTGCAATATTAATTACCTAATTTGCATAATGATTAATCAATTTTCGACTTTTCCATTGATATCTCAAGTAGTAATCATCACATTTCAATGACACTTGGTACATAGATGTCATAGGACACTGCACAGACCTGATAGTTTTTTGAGTAATATCAGTACATATTAATTACCTAATTTGCATAATTAATTAATTTTCAGCTTTTGATATTTCAAGTAGTAATCATCACATTTCAATGACACTTGGTAAATAGTTACTTAAGGACTGTGCAGACCCTTGATTAGTTTTTGGATAAATATTTGTGCATATTAATTACCCTATTAGCATAATTAGTTAATTTTCAGCTTTTTGCCTGATATCTCAAGTACTAATCATCTTATTTCAATGAGAATTGCTACATAGATCTTCTAGGACTATGCAGAGATCTGATTAGTTTTAATTGGATATTAATTACCTAATTTGCATAATGTTCCACTGATATATAAAGAACCACGAATTGGATTTTAGTGAAACTTTTAAAGAGAACTATGCAGAGACCCAATTAGTTTTTGGTAAATATTTATGCTTATTAATCACCTAATTAACATAATTAATTAAACACTGATATCTCAATTACTGATCATCACATTTGAATAAAATTTGGTACATAAATGCTCTAGGCCAATAGACAGACCTGGTTAATTTTGGGTTAAAATTTGTTCATATTAATTCACTAATTAGCATAATAATTCATAATTTTTTTGTTCTGTTCTGTTCATATTTGTTACCTGATTTACATAATTAGTTTTCAGCTTTTCTAT